GAGTGCACGACCAAGGAACGAAGCAAGCAGTATGCGGTGCTGTACCTTTGCTACTCAGTGGAGTAGGCGGCAGGGTTGATGGAGAAGACGGTACAATCCCAAAGACGACCTCATCTATCAGAGAATTACTCCAAGTTGGGGTGAAAACTTCCTGCATTCCAGAAGTTAAATGACATTGAGAAGGTGAATCATAGTAGCTAACTCAACGCAAGGAGTGCAAACACTTCAAGTGCTTCAGAAGTGTGAGCAAAGAGCAGGCGAAGGCCAGTAACCAGCTCGATGCATGAAGTACAACCTCGAGGAGGCGGGCGAAGTCAAGTAACCTTTGCCTTCTCAACTCTTAAGAGGATGGGCGAAACCGAGTGCCCCAATTCTCTTATCTATCCAGCAGAGGAGCTCTGCACAAGTTCAAAGACCCTTCGAAGATAATGGAAGACAATAGTTGTCAAATCCTCACCAACGGTGATCAGTGCTACTGAGAGTAGATTGTCCGCTTCATTTCCCAACAAAATGCCAATCGAAAGCGGAAGTGATGCGAACCTACTTGGATGTGACAACTAATTGAAAGAAGAGTCAATGAGCAGATTCTGTGGAGGAAGGACCCAAAACTTTAGAAGTTTGCGAGACGATGCTCGTTAAAGCTCCAACAAGCATCCAACCAGTTCAAGCATGAGGAATCTTTGGGAGACTGGCGCAGTAAGGATGGTCTTTTCCTTCATCTGGGGGATCCGCAGGAATCAATAATGATCAACACAACTCAGCCAACCCCACACCAGAGTCAGAGACATTGGTGAGTTGAAGCAGCATGGCGGATCAAAAGGTTCGACTACTCAAAAACAACAGCGGAGAGCAGCTAGGAGCCAAGAGGCGCATTGTAGCTAGAGCAGAAGATTGAAGACTCAGCAAAGGCGAGGAGTTGCAGTGTCGACAAAGGCTTCAACGAGGACGTCGAAGGAATAAGTGGGGGAGAATGTCACGGACAAACTTCTAAACAAGATGTTTGATGTAATGCTCATGTATGTCCGTGTCTCTTGGCATGTTCTTGCCTTGTACAGAATGTAGAGGGGCGGCCGAAGGCTTAATAGTCCCATTTTAGTTGGGTTGGTGGCCTCTTTAGGCTTGTAAATAAAGGTTGTGTCATGTGGACACGTGCGAGAGATTTTCGGTCTGTAATGGACCATTTTACCCTTTGTTGTGCCACTGTTCAGAGCTTGTAAAGTCTGTTTGTAACTTGCATTGTCTATGAAGTGTTTTTCGGAGATGTTTGCTTGTGGATCCCGAGTGAGGCGTTCTCTCTAACCCGTTCTCTCTTTTGGTGGTCCTAAGGGACAATGGGAGGCTTCGGGGAGGCTGACCTTTGCGGACGGACACGCAAGGGTGCCGCACGACTTAGGCAAAACCAGCTAAGTTCGTGACAGCATGCCGCTGCCGTTGCCACTGTCGCTGCTCTCGCAACCGTTGCTCACTTTTACTGCAGTCACTGCACCCTCGGTCTTCCTCTACACTCCTCTTCCTTCTCCTCTTTCGAAAGTATACTGTTAACAGTATACTAGTAACAGTAATGTATTTGTATTTATTAGATTAATAATATATTATTTTGATTTTAATACTATTAAATAATTATATTTATTAATTATATTATATATTTTAATATTTTAGTGTCTCACTTCGCTCGGGCGAGTACTTGGGCGAGCGCCTAACGCTATTTAAATCACTGGTTTTAAGTTTATTTTTCTGAAAATTATCAATCTCTTAATTTTGAATTATCAGGTCATTTCAGAAGCTCTTCCACTTACCTTGAATTGGAATTTACATTCATAGTAACACAGGCCTACTCCCATACTATGATTCCTGTACTATTCATTCTCTTTGCTTGGTTGCTAGATGGCAATACAAAACGAGTAGACAGTATAAAGAATGCTTTCCTGCTTTCTTTGGCCCTTTGATCAAGAACTATGACAAAGTTGATTCGACCACTTAATAGGGTTCTGTTCCTTTTGTTGGCTTTTTGTGCCTTGAGAACAGCGGCCTTTCATGTAGCAGAAAATGTTTCATTTTCCATTTATTGCTATTCTTTCTGGCTTGTTGATATTAAAACAGAATGGGCTAGTGACTTGACTGATCTTCAGGTCACTTGTCAGACTGTAAGCCTGTTAAAGCTGTTAAATAAAAAAAGTTGTTATATATACATATATAGGAAAATTATCAAATAAAACACCGAAGCAACTATTTAAACTGTTACACAAATACACTTCCAACATCCATCACAAAGATGTAGCAAATCAAAGCATTAAGAAGCAACAGATATATCATTCAACAAGTTTGATACCAATGACAAATTCATCTTGAAGCTGCATTAAATGATCATCCATCATTGTAGTACTTGGACACTCTTTACCAGCACAAGATTTGTAGATTTCAGACCGTTCTCCATGATATCCAACACATTGCCTTACAATTGTGTGAACCGAAGTCTTCTCTTTGAAGATGTACTGCAGTCTCTTCTCCTACTCCTCTCATCAAAGCTGAAATATGCCTTGCTTTGTTGTTTCCTGATTGATGCTATATCCATCACTGCTCTGGAGAGGTGAGAGGAGGTGCAGTGGTTCGGTAAAGTGCGTGGATGTTGGTCTGAGGTGGACCATTCAAGGGAGAGGGATGTAGCTTGGGAGACAGAAACATTGACGGTGCTTCTAGCTGGCAGTGGTTTGAAATTGGAGGAAATTTTGGCAGTGTTTCTTTATTATATTTTAAATATCTGAATGAAGACATGAGGCCTCCCTTTAAAAAAAATCTACTTAAGCTGAAAAGTTTTTTATTGTAATTTACTTGTTGGAATTCAAAACATGCTTATTTTAATCTTTGGCAAAAAATTAGAACTGACTGCCTGGTAACTGGTTCTTTTGGTTTGACTGATAATCAGATGGGTTAATTTGTTTCCCTTGGGCAATATGCACAGCCGGCCCATTTGTGGGATCAGATCAGATGGGGTCTGGTTCCCAATTCCTTGGTTGGACCGGATGGACCAATCTGGTTTTGATAATTATGCTTTTCTTTGCTAGGAAATCTGTTTTAACGCCTTTAGGTTTTACATTTGACAGTTGGTCATAAATCTTTTTGAGCAGTTCAATTTTGAGTTATGCTGTATGGTTGATCTCATACTGATTCGTAACTTTTTTTAGATGTCTTTTACCTTTGAAGTTTTACCAGGGAACCTCATGTTTGTGTACTTGAAATTATTACATACTTTGTATGTTTTGCAGGTATGGGACAAATGCCAAAAATTTGGTGAAGAAATGGTCCTTCTAGCAAGTAATCTTTCAAGCATGTCACATGTTTCCTGTCAGAAGCATGTAAAACACTGTTACCCTTTTCTTCTCTCTTCTGAACTCTGGATATTACCTGTTACATTGGCTGGGTGACAAGTACTGGTTGGTTGACATAGTTATCTAATGAATTCATATCTTAAAAATAAATGTTCTGCTTAGCCTGTCAATGGTCTATATTTTTAACATTGTTGAGGTCTGAGGTTGTGATTTTTTATGCTATAACTGCAACATTTGTTGCTATGAAGTTTTGGTTGGTTAATACTTGGTATATGGAGGTCGTGAATTTAACCCTGAAACGAGTACATCCTGTATTAATTCTGTTTGCATTTACAATACGATAGCATGCATGAGCAGATTGTTGCTTATGAAACATCTCTACATCTTCCAGGACACTTGTCAAGTAGTTGCTGAACGGAAGAGTTTTGCGGAATCCAATAAGACTGCCATGCACCTTACGTTCTGTGAATCAGGCCAATACACCAAATTGGATCAAGCTAAGGCCTCTCCTCTATACAAGGTTCCGACTTGCAGGCAATGTGCCATGGAAGCAAATGGAGAATGTAGCCTCATCTGTGGTGGATGTCAGGCAATGTACCATTTCTCATGCATCAAGCCTGCTCTTGTAGAAATTCCAACTCAGAGCTGGTACTGTGTTGTTTGTAATGCATACGAGAAGGAATCACCTGAACCTTTTTCGATCTGCACTAGGAAAGATATTATGCACAAGAATCACTTGGTGTATGATGGGCTTAAAACTTCTGGGACACAAGAATATTGCATTGACAGTGACAGCAGGATTGTTAGAGCTTCCAACTCCACGGAAAGTTCAGTTTCATTTATGGAGACTGATGAGTCACCAGAACTACCAAGGACTGCTCAGTCATTCTTGTGCAAGATATGTGGGACTTGCGAGGATGAAGACAAGAAATTCTTGATTTGTGATCATGTTCACTGCCCTTACAAGTTCTACCACATAAGATGCCTAAAAAGTAGTCAGATAGCTAGTCTGCAGCAGCAAAAGAAGTCTTGTTGGTATTGCCCATCTTGCCTTTGTAGAGCTTGCTTTTGTGATAAGGATGATGATAGGATTGTCCTATGTGATGGTTGTGATGAGGCATACCACACATACTGCATGAGACCACCGTGTACTTCCATACCCAAGGGCCAGTGGTATTGCCAGTCTTGCAATGCATCCATGGAGAGGAAAGGGACGAAGAGACACAAGCAGCGTATCACCCAGCAACACTGGAAGAATGATGGCACACAATTTAATGAGGTTAGTCGTGCAGTGGATTTGCTATTAATTGCTGCTGAGAAGCTGAGCTCAGAAGAGCAATTGATGGCAGGGGAGAATTCAAGATAGGTGATTGCACAAGTTACTAAACCTTGTGCAATGAGATACTTCATCGGTAGGAGTCCTAGTTTTAATGGTTGAAATGGATATCCTTCGATCATGAGATAGATCTATGGAGTATGGCTTGGGAGTTTTTCCCCGATCAGTTTGGTTTCTAGTTTGCTAAGGGAAGGTTTTTTTCACTCAAATGTCAATCATACACTCGGCATTCAAATGCAACTGGAAGAACGGAAAGACATCTTCTTCAATGTATTATATCCTCCCAGTGCCAGAAAATCCCTAGAAGGGCAAATTTTCCTTGTAATTGTTAAATGCTGTTGTTAAAGGGTCGCAACATCTTTTTTGAAATGTCAATCTCAGTCGAAGTCTCCCATGTAATGTAAATAATAGCCAAGGAGAATGTACGTTTCCCCAGTATCCCCTTTCTGTGGAAATTTCGATTACTTTTCTGTTCTCATTCTCTATTGTGGTGTAGCAAGCTTTCATCTTCTAGATGACAATGGTTTTTGTGGACACTGTCTACATCTGGAAGAATACCAATCTGTTATACACAGAATTAGTCACCACTCTGTTCTGGCAATTGGTTCCAGGTAATTCATAGTGATGTTGCCATTATTTTTCTTTCTCTTGTGCGTATGAAATACTTGAAATGATGAAGGTTGGATATGCATAATTGTTTGTTAATATTGATGATGCCATTAGTTACTTGGAGGATGCCATTCAGCTATTATTTTGTAAAAAGGATGTCCTTGGCATCCATGGCTGAATGATAAGACATCCTTGTCATCCATGGTGAGAAAGTGCAGTTTTGTCTGGTTTTCCTGGTTTGCATTGTTCAACAATTAGTAGTGGACAAGCCCAAGTTTAGAGTCTGTGATGAATATTTAGATTTCACTGTAAAATTATGAAGCTGTTGATAATTCCAGCTTAGATATGATAATCTTAGTTTATTGGTGTTGATAATACACTGAAAGGTTGACACCCTCACAGGAATCAAGATAAGACATCCTTAAGTTGCTGCTGTAGTGTGTGGATTTATGAAGCTGCTGATAATTCCAGTAGGAGAATGACAATGATAGCTTATTGGAGTTGGGAATACAAGGAATCAAGTTAACACTTCTTTTTGTGTAGCTACTTGATGTGTGCATTATAGTCTGATAACAAGAAACTCTCATTCTTGAAATAAAAAAAATGTTGACCTTCTTCAAGCATGCAAGATTTTTAAACCTATACCACAAGAAAATCATCAAATTCAATACTAACTATAAATGTATGAACTGGTGGTAAAGCAAAATCCATAGGGTCATCAAGTATTTTGACAGGAAAAAGCCACCCTCAAGAAGATTCTTATTCCAATTTCTGCACAAATATAATTGCATCTTATCACACTTTTCTATGAAGAGTTCACAAGATCATTTATTGAGCTTCTATGATGATACTATAAATTTTGTTTGGGGTATATACATTGCATGTAATGAAATATAGAAAAAAAAATCATTTTCCTTGTGCTTCTCAGTTTGGTTTTGTAAATGAACACACTATATGATTAACCATTTAAAAGATTGAGCTTGCCAACAGCTGATGTGGCAATGAGTTGCCCACCAAGCTTGAGGAACTCACATTTTTACTAAATTAAAGTCACGATCAAGTGCAAATCCTTGATGAGCACTAATCTGTCTATGATTGTGATTTGAGTCCACAAGTAAGACTGTTGAATTCCTCAAAAGAAGTAAAAAAGAAGAGAGGAGCAAGATAACATTGAAGGTTAACATATGGCAGTAAGCCTACACAAGCTTATAATTTTGGTTGAGAAATCCTCTATTTTGAGAATGAACTAAATAACCATCAAGGTTGGGCTTCTGATTGAAGTTTTCAATTTCCTCTCTTGATGAAAAGATCAGTAAACTAGCATATAGTGGGGGAAACATAAATCCACCTCTGTGCAGAAAGATGAAAGAGTTGACAAGAAATTTTCAGGTCCATCACTTCAACAAGAGAATTATCAATCTCAAAATAAAAAAAAGGCTACATAACTTAAGGAAATCTTATTTTTATTATCCAAGTATTTAGTTTTGAGCACTATCCAACTCAAAATCTCAAGAAATTGCTTTTTGTGTATCATGGTACAATTTGCGTGGTTCATGGGTTGAACTCATCAACCAGGAATAACAATAATTCAGTGAAGTCAAACAATCAAAATATAAATGGTCACGGGTTGAACTCATCCATGAACCAATGACTGCATTTACATGCAAGGCTGTCGTTCTTCACTTGCTTGTCGGTCTGAAGAAGAATGAATGGAATCAATGATAAGATCATAAAAATCATATAGCCTGGAAGAGGACTTCTTTGTAGCAATAGCTGCTGTCTCAGAGGAGGAAGGCAACCAGCGAATGTAAGATTGTTTTCCCAATGCTAATGAACACCGAAGTTTGAAAAGTATCATATCCATCATCGAGTGTTCTCTGGCGATCGAAACTTCATCAGATTTGCATGCAATGGCAAGTACATAGGCTACAAAATTCAACTTTCAGCATGTATCCCCACCTGTGTAGCATCTTTAAGAGGACCCCAGCATTCTACTCGATTGTACTTCTTCAATCTTGAATGGAAGTACACCCATACCTTAGTTTCCAGCAGCTCAGGGTGCTTCCTAAATAAGAGAGAATCTCCATGTACAGATGTACTACAGCTTTTAAAACCTGAATATAATCAAATTAATAATTCATGTAATTAACATACCAGATCTTATGTTCTAGCTTCTTCTTAGGGATAAAGCTCTTAATAAAACAAAAAGATCAAATGCTAAATTCCAAATCTCATGCTTGAGAGAAGTGATCCGGATAGCTGTCAAGAACACCAGATCATAGATCATTGATTTGGAGTATAAGAAATAAGAATCCATGATATTGCTGAATCTTAAAAGTGTGGACTCACCACTAGTAGCTCTTTAGAGAAGATATGGTATCGGAATCCAGCAACCAGATCTTGGAGGATGTCAGAACCACTTACATAACAATGCACATGCAAAGACATTTCCTCTTTAATCTTCTTCCACTCTGCCACAACATCATCCCTATGTAATGTGGTTTGCCAGTCCAATTGTGATATTTGATGAAAGCTTCCATCGGTCATTAGTGTAATGCACGGCACCAAATAGCTATCAGAAAAATGATTATCTTGCAATATTTCTTCATCTCAGAGAAGAAAACAGTATCACATGTAAACACTTGAACAATTTTTATGACATTTTAGAGACTTGCATACTACTTAAAGCTAATTAAGAGCAATAAACAGGTAAATGATCATATAGAATTTGCTAAGCAAAATCCATAACATTTGCAAATGCGACCGTGTTTGTCCAAAGATTCCATAACATCAACGCAAGCAATGTTATGCATCCCTTGTCCTTCACATTATAAAACTCAGGAAAAAAACCTATAAATTATTCCAAATATCAATATCTTTTAACTGCAAATTATGTCACAATATGCAGGTTATTGAAATTCCAGAGTGTAGGATCTAAATGAAATTACTGATCAGTCGATCATACCTTTTGACTATGCATACCATTGGAGACAGCTAAGGTTAGATTAGCTGTGAAGTCACAGTGTGTGAGGGTGTAAGCTCTTGGAATGGTGCTCGGAATCTGCTTCTCCATTTCTTCCCCCATGAAAACTACTTTGAGCTTTAAGGCTTCAAATTTCGACGGAGGACCCAAAACCCTAGCTGCCTGGCAGTGAAACAACACATACTGAAATCATCAACTCTGTACTATATTCCTGTGGAATGTCGGACAATGCTAGGTAGCAACTGCAAGTAGATCTACGAGTCAGGAAGAGGATGGTTTGGCGATCCTCCTCTCAGATGTTATTTATTCCAGATGAAGAGACTAATTGTCGTTTACTTACAACTTTCACTGTTTCAATTGGCTAAGAACTAAAACATAGCTAACAGAGTTGGGGAAGAAGTATTCTGGTTTGATCCTATTCTCAGACTTCAAATTGACAATCTGCCATGCTATAACCAAACAGATTAATTCCTCTGTATCACAACAGATCTAGCAAAGTAATGTGATACTGCTCCACAATTCTTACTATCATTTAGATAGCTCGATCTGTATTGTTCTCTACGGAATGCCTAACCGTATTCGAAGAGAGTTTGTTCTCTTTGACACATTTCATCAAGTGCCTTGGACACATCTATGTTCTCAGCATTGCAACTGAACTCAACAACCATAAGAAACAAAGGGAGAAGAGAGAAGAGGAACGGAGTTGCAGGACTAGAGGCCACTAGAAGTCTCTCTTTTCACAACTCAAGATGAGCAGACGGGTGGCTGAGGCGGTCGCAGTGGACATGGGAGTCCTGCTGCCCATCAAGGAAGAAGAGACGACGGGTGCGCGAGAGAGACTGGTAGCGGCGAAGGCAATCCCAGCCGAGAAGCAAACCATGGGAGGAGCTCCTGGGGAGGAGGAGGACGACTCTCTGTAGGCGTCATGCGTGGCCTCGTCCGGCCCCCATGACCTTCACACACACACACACGGTCGTCGTCTGCTACTTCTCTTGCGGCCATTAGAGTCTTGGTGGTCTTGCCGTTCTCTGCCACATGGAATGGCTTCATTGGTGAGGACAAAAAAGGAATGGATAATATGGATATCGACGTCTCATCTGTCACAGGAAGAGATCCGAAATGACGACGTGGTCTGATTGTTGTTGGATTTGATATATGCAAGATGTGGCTAATTAGATGTTAGCTCATCTCCATAATATCACAATCCTTACATTTAAAATATTTATATTAAATTTTTTATAATTATAAAAAATAAAATATTTAGTTTTATTTATCCTGATGTCATCAGTTTTACCGATGAAAACACCAAAATAATAAGTAAAAAAATAATTTTAATATTTTAATTAGTGATGATGAATGATATCAATGATGACGGAGGATGAATCTATTGAAAATTACGAGTAATTATTATGGATGAGAAAAACGATGATGAAATATGAGGGTTACTTAACATCTGCATTGTTATTCCTTGACAATTACATCGACGTTGACGTAGATATAAAACGACAAAAGGACCAATTGATAATTACATCAGCATTGACGTAGATATCAAGTGATTCTTATTTCTTGTTGTCGCTCTCCTTATCCACAACAATCACTCATGGCCCTCAATGGCATTATTGTTCATCACCACCGATGTTGTCCGTCATCATAAATTGAAATATTAAAATTATCTTTTTATCTATTCTTTTCATATTTTTATCAATAAAATCGATAAAAACTAAATATTTAACTTTCATAACAAATTCTAATATAATTTTTTTAAGTTTACGAATGCTAATGCTAAGGAGAACTGACCATAACAGATAATTTGTAATTAACCAATAAAATGAGGAAGGGAAACCTTTAGGACGCGAACGGCGGGTTGGGTGTCCACGACCAAATCT